AAACAGTCCAAAAGCTTTTAGTTTGTCAACATGCAGCTAATCTTGTGCAAGATTCCTCAGCAAACAGAGCGCTAATGATTTCAAAGAAATTTTAGAAAAAAAAAAGAGACCCCCTACACCCAGCAGGCACAGCTTTTTGGTTGTTGAGCAAAGCCAGCCCTCTTGCCGTCTATTAATTGTGTGCATTGATCAGAGCCCCTCCTCGTTTTCTCTGAGGTTTCCGAGCTCTGCGGGCCGCCGTGGCCACGCTGCTGAACTCGCCTTAGCTTTCAATTACGGTGAAGAAGCAAACGACGTATGAGCCCAAACAAGATGGAAGTTGTTTCAGATGGCATATGATCCGAGCTTCTACTTCGACACAGTGCCCTCGTCTCTGCGTGAGGCGTCCAGTAATGTCAGACGCTCGCTGTTCTGCCTGAAAGGCACAGCTAAGAATTTAAAGTACACCTCACTTGTTCAGACTGGTAATATAGTGAGAGGAGGTAAAAGAATGATCACGTTCAAACTTTTTATTGTTTTATTCACAAAGCTTGAGCACATTCAGCCCCTGCTGATTAACCCTTCTGTGCATGCATATTTGAGTTTACGAGGGCACAGATAGTTTACGTTGGGCAAAGTGATATTTTGATGCTCGTCCATAATTCATGGTTGCAGTGACCTGCTATCCACAGGAGAGCCAACAGCTCTGACTTCAAACAAACCTGTCTGCAGCACAACATCTGGTCCATGAGGAAATGTTCCCTTTGTTAATGAAAGGATATAAATTGATGTGGCAGACAAAAAGCCTCTGCACACTTTGGGTCTTGCTCAGGTGCTGAAGGCCCCACAGGTGTGTTTTTTTTCTGGAGGCAGCCATTGCTGCTGAGGGTGATAAACACAAAGAGAATTAGACAGTTTTGTTGTGATTGAAGACGTCAAATGATGCTGTTTATTGTGATGTCATCAACCCAAGTTTCAAGAACTATTCCGCCCTTTAGGGAACAAGGATTTGCTTGATTAGCTGCGTTTTTAATACGAAGGAAGCCATCTGTTGCCTCACTTACGTCAGCCCTGCGGTGTTTAAATCGTATTATTTATACTTGTCAAATGAACTTTTTTTTATTTTTTTTTTAACAGAAGACAGGATATAAAACTCAAACCTGTGACCAGCTTTGTATTATATCCCTGTTTATCAAGATTAATATTCCAGTCAGCGACTCCCATAACTTTTGCTATTATATCATCCATCTGTTTAATTGCTGTTGCAAAATGTGATGACAGTTTTATTGATGTTGGAGCTTAATTCCAGCAGCTGATAGGCCTGGATCAATGTGCTGCCGAGAGCAAGAACGAGTTGTAATGTAAACTCCTGTGTCAATTGTAGCTGAACACGCTGCCTTTATACTTTTATTCCACTTAACACCTTCATTTCACAACAGTAATTCCTTCAGCCTAAGCTCCTAAAGTAACCATTAGGCATCCATTTGTTGGGACAAAGTGATCAAATTCATCCCTGTCCATTTACTCCCAAAGATTTCAGATTTACAAAGGATTAAGAGTTGAGAAATCAATTTGCTTGCTCTTGGATGTCAGGTAATCCAGTTTGGAGATCTGTTAGCGCTGCTGCAGACTAATGAGCGCTGCTCATCTCGACGCCTCTTGTTGAATTTTAAAGGCGGAGATGCGCTCAAACGAGAGGCATTATTATTTAAAAAGAGCGCACGCTGCTGTTATCAGAACGGTTGTCTAAATCGGTGAAAGAAAAGCCTTCATGCAGTGATTTCAAACAATTTTTTATGGCCTGCAGGACACACCGGGCTTCAAAACACCTGCCTGACACAGCTACAAAGTGAATATTGTATCACTGTATTGGTGCGTTACTGCAACCATGAAGCACTCAGGGATGTAAAGACCTTTTCCAGTCAGCAAGACGGTTTTAGGCACATTACATCTGTAATTCCTGGATTCTTTCCAAGTAAATGCATAAACCTAATTGCCTCAAAGAAGAATGAGTGGGTAAAGGGGTAATTTTTTCTAATCTTCACACTGGTGCAAGTTGTTTTATTGTAAATGACTGTGTCTGTGAAAGTATGACTCTTGGAAAGTAAAAAGGCCGTTTTAATGGTTGACCATAAATCTCTTGCAGCCCACACTGGACACTAACAAGCTTGTTACAAGATGAGCAGATTGGCACCAAAAGAGATCAACCATAAGATCATTAAGAAGGGGAGTTTCTTAATCAGCTCAGCCGTACATTTTGAAGTTATTCTTAAACATGTGATGTTTAAATTCACAATCCATAAGTATGATGTATCTTTAAGTATCTTTGAGGTGTTGTTTTTGGCTCAGGGACCGATAAGCATCCTGAGTACTGTAAGATCAGTAAGAAAGCTGGAAAGTCAACTGTCTAATAAAACATTAAAGGGGATTTTCATTCAGTAGAATAAAACAGAATCATGTGTTTTGAAGTGTTGTGGTAGTTACAAGAGAAATCAGCTATAAAAATTCAGATTTGTTTAAATTGGACTTTTGTCTTGTCTGAAGCACTGGGTTTTAGATCCGCTGCAATCTGAGTTTGACTCGTTTGATTTCAGCTTGATTGAGAAAATCTCCCTTTTTTGAGTATCTACAGTACAAGCTGAGATTGAATAAATAAAAAAAAAAGCTAACATGATGAAACTCTCTTATCTAAATGTCACCCCGAACACTCCCTAACAATTGTTAATTAGAAAGCAGCACGAAAAGCTGAGCAAGATGTCCAGAAAGGCTTCCCCCAGGGACCAGCTTGATGCACAAGCTTTGTGATCTCACTTAACAGAAACAACATTATTTACAGTATATTTTGTACTATAAAGATGCACTTAAATCCTTTAATGTTCTAAAAAAATCAACAGTGAGCCTTATAATCCAGTGCACATTATGTATTAATTCTGTTTGTGCTTACTGACCTCGAACAGATTGTATGTGGTTACAACTGAACAATGTTCAGAGTTATTGTGAATGAGCTGAATAAAGTTTGACTTATCTGACTGTTTTGTTTTACTTAATGCGCCTTATAATCCAGTGTGCCTTATAGTCCAAAAAAATGGTAAAGAAAGAACTGCACAGCTGCTTTATTTATTTATTTTATTTTTTTTAATTAGAGACCATTATGTTTTCTTATTTCTTATTTCTAGGACTGAAATTACACTGATTTCAGTGCTTGTCCTCTTTTTTGTGGAGAGGAAAAGAATTCTAGTGAAAAGCATGGTGATATAAGATAGATAGATAGATAGATAGATAGATAGATAGATAGATAGATAGA